CTCAGGGAATTGACAGAACACCCATTGAGATGTTTCAACAAATGGATATCACACTGGAGGCACTCACTTGGCTATGCCAAGAGATCTGGAAGACAACAACCTGGCCAGTCAACAACCTGACTAGACAAGATCCATATTCGTACACATTCCAAAGAAAGGTGATCCCACAGAATGTGAAAATTATCAAACAAAATCATTAATATCAAATGCAAGTAAAACCTTACTACAGATAATTCAAAAATGGTTATAGCAGTATATTGACAGATCACTTCCAGTAATGAAAGCTGGATTCAGAAGGGGACGTGGAGCAAGGGATATCATAGCTGATGTTAGATGGATCTTGGCTGAAAGCAAAGAATACCAGAAAGATGTTTACTTGTGTTTTATTGACTATGCAAAGGCATTTGTGAATCATAACAAACTGTGGATAACATTGAGAAGAAGGGGAATTCCAGAATACTTAATTGTACTCATGAAGAACCTGTACATAGACTAGGAGGCTGTCATTCGAACAGAACAAAGGGATATTGCATGGTTTAAAATCAGGAAGGGAGTGCATCAGGGTTGTATCCTTTCAACACACTTATTCAATCTATATGCTGAGCAAATAATCTGAGAAGCTGGACTATATGAAGAAGAACATGGTATCAGGCTTGGAGGAAGGTTCATTAACAACCTGAGATATGCAAATGACATAACCTTGCTTGCTGAAAGTGAGGATGACTTGGAACACTTACTATTGAAGATTAAAGACTACAGTCTACAGTATGGATTACACCTCAATATAAAGAAAACAAAAACCCTCACAACTGCAGTAATAAGCAGCATCATGATAGATGGAGAAAAGACTGAAGTCAAAGACTTCATATCACTTGGTTCTACAATCAACACCAATGGAAGCAGCAGTCAAGACATGAAAAGATGTATTGCACTGGGCAATCTGTTGCAAAAGACCTCTTTCAAGTGCTGAAGAGCACAGATATATCCTTGAAGACTAAGATGTGCCTAACCCAACAACAGTATTTTCAATCGCCTCATATGCATGTGAAAGCTGGACAATGAATAAGGAAGACTGAAGAAGAGTCAATGCTTTTGAGTTGTGGTCCTGGTGAAGAATGCTGAAAGTACCACAGACTGCTAAAAGAACTAACAAATCTGTCCTGGAAGAAGTGCAGCTGGAATTCTCCTCGGAAGCAAGAAGGGCCAGATTTCATCTCACCTACTTTGGTCATGTTGTCAGAAGGGACCATTCCCTGGAGAAGGATGTCATGCTTGGTAAAGTGGAGGGTCAATGAGAGAGGGGAAGACTGTCAACAAGATGGATTAACATGGTGGCTGCAGTGATGGGCTCAGGTATAGTAGGGATTGTAAGACTGGCACAGGACTGGCAGTGTTTCGTTCCATTATACAGAAGGCCGCTATGAGTTGGAGATGACTTGATGGCACATAACAACAACAAGAACAACATCTGTAGAAAGAGGCACTGGAAAAGCTCATTATCTTCAGCTGAAACAAAG